GGAAGAGCGAGCAGCCTGTTTTCGGTATAAGAGCGAGTGAGCTGTGTTTGGTGGAAGAGCAAGCGGCCTATTTTCAGACGAAGAGCGAGTGGCCTGTTTTCAGGGGAAGAGTAAGTGACATCGCTGGTGAAGCGCAATTGTCTTTGTGCATCTTCCTGACTCGGAAATTTCACCAAAGTCCTCCGGTCACTGAACGGACGTTTATTCCAACAATTATGCAAGGATTTGGATTCTGAGCACAGCACTTCTCTCTTTCATACCGAAGTACATCGGTTGTCGAGAGGTGAAACACGATCGAGATTATTTGAGCTACGAGATGAAACACGAATGTTCCTGACGAATGTTTCATCACCCCTAGCAGAAAAGCTTGAAAATGTCTTCTGGGTGTCCGGTCTTGCCTCTTTGGCTGACATATTTAAAAAGCTAAAGGAACTTAAAATCGGTCGCTGCAGGGCCACGTGGTTGTAACGTCTTTATCATGGAAACATTGCATCGTTTCCCAATTGTATCACACTTTATTGAACTCAATTCCATTGTTGGCACTGAATGTCATGGTTCCGACAGATGAAACTCTTCAAAAAAAAAAAACCTTTGAGGCACTGTTTGCCTTAAAGAATTCTTTATTCAAGAAGCGTAATATCGGCGCTAATGTAATCGAAGCCAAAAACTGAATTCCCCCCACCCCGAGCACATAGTATCAAAGCACAATTCCCTCCTCCAATTAACAGTCATAAATCACATTCCCCAATTAGTTTTAAAGCACGGACTTTCCCTCCAGCTCTGGCCAATTCTTATCATCTCTTCTTTCAACAACCTTGATTCTCAGCATTATTATGTCTAGCTGAACTCTCATGCACATCCCCCCCTCCCCAGCATCATCTAACTCTAAAAGCGAAAACGAGAAAATGGCGGCATCTTCCATCTGCTGTCAAAGCCAAAACGTCCGATGTTAGCAGCGTTGACGCCGAAGACCTTGAAACGGCCGTCTCAAAATCACTTGGGGAAAATTGCGTGCCGAGTTTGCGTTGCATTTTCTATTTGTGTTCGCCCTCCATTGCGGACCATGTTGCGAATGCCGAGCTTTCCTCTCAAGAGCAAGAAGCACGTCTGGAATTTGACCCATCACACCGCAAATTCGAAGGAACTTTTTAATGAAAAAAAAAAACACTGACTGAGTTCCGGAACTAAGTTGCAAAACTGTGTAGCCAGAAACGGGGGGAAAAAAGCTGTCGTAGCGTTGTCGTCGTAGCGTTACTGTCATTTGGTTCCACGTACTTGTGCGAGGAGTTTCCTTCATTAATGTGTGTAAAAATTAAGGAAAGGAACTGTCTTCAGCTGGAATCTGACTTAATTCTACCAGGAAGCTCTCTCCAGCCACGAGGGCAAAGGTTAATGTCAGCGAAACAGGCACATGTTTCCCACTAAAAGTGTGGTAAGTGGGTGTACATTGATCAGGTTTTTTTGCTCAAGTTTTAGACACTGGTGGTACGCGAATATTGTCATGTTTTAAAGGTGGTAGAATCTGTGAAAAGGTGGGGAAAGGCGTGTGTTAGAAAATAGGACAAAACGAGGAGGCACGGATTATTCTGAAGTTCTCGATATCTTTCTTCAGCATGTCCTCCGTGTAATAAAGAGCATCTCCGTTCTCGTATACGAGCTGGTCAATCATCTTCATCAGTTCGGCCACCTGAGCCTCCCGTTCTTCTCCTTCGGCCGTGTTGTTGAAAGCCAAGTAGCGGTTCCCACATTCAGCAAGATATTTCTTTTGCTCTTGGAAATACGTGAAATTTTCAAGAGAACGACCTTCCAGCTTATCTTTCTGGGTGAACAGGACGATCATATAATTCCGGCCTTTCTCGCTGAAAATCTCTTTGATTATCCGAGCCGCGTCTTTCTCCTCCTGGGAGAAACGGTCAGGGCGCATGACCCAGAGAATAACGTGGGGACCCGGGGAGCATAACTTCACACAGTTGCTCACTTCATCAGCATTTTTCGGCTCCGGACGCCCGGTGTCGAGGAAGCCAGGTGTATCGACAACCACAATCCTCCTGCCGTTCCACAGCACTTCCTCCTTTCGGCACCGTTTTGTATCGGACATAGGTGACATCCCAAAGACTTGGCTTCCCAGGATTGTGTTTCCCGTCGCACTTTTCCCACTTCCGGTCCTGCCCACGAGGACGATCCGCCGTTCGGGCCCTACAACCCAAAGGGGAGAGGAAACACGAAGGGGAACCAGTCAGTCAGTGTACGGCCATCGTAGCCGGTGCGTCGTGGTTGACTCGCAACGCAGCTTCGCGTGCAACCAAACGATTGGAATGGGAGGGAGGGAAATGAGGAAGGCAAGTCAGCCGGCTAAAAGCCCGAGACAGACCTGACACGACAAGGTGGTCGTTTGGCTGGGAAAGTCCGAAGTTGTCGACTTTTGTTGCCGAAACAAAGTGAAGGCCAACGATTGGCGGACCACGGACAGTGGGAGGTCTGGGGGGAGGGGGAACGGAAAGATTTCCAATGCTGTTTGCGCATGAAATGGTTAGAACCGGCTTTTCTCCTTCTGTAACCCCACGGAATCGTCAGTAAAGTTATACTCTTGGTAGTGGGACCCAGGAGTGTCCACCCAGGACAGCGAGTCCCACGCACCCACCCAGGGGCCAAAGATTTTACCTCGGATGCTTCCAGCCATTTCCGGACGATTGGCACAGGCCGAATCTGGGGGTTTCTGGATGAAAAGCAAAACAGAATCAGCCAAAGGAGTGACTTACCATGCTTAGAGGTTGCAGGGAACTCCCCCCCCAGAAGACACAGGCAGGAATTGGGGGGAGGGGGTTAAAAGAGGGTTACCCCCTCCTTCGCCGCCGCTGCTGAGGCAGTCATCCTGATCCTGAACCATCTGGAGGACACTGGAAACTGACTGATACATCAGTGAGCTGCCCTGGTAGACAGTTTACACCCCTTCCTGGACCCCTTTCCTGGATCCCCTTCCTGCACCTCCTTCCTGGACCCCCTTTTCCAGGAGTGTTCCCCTCTCCAACCTCAGTACACTGATTACATTGATTACATTGTGTGTACGGGTAGTTTTCGAGTTACAACCGTTTAGCGATCAAAGTTACGACAGCACTGAAAAGAATGACCTTTTTTTTTTCCACACCGACGACCGCGGCAGCCTCCCCGGGGGTCACGTGATTTGTATTTGGATGATTGACAAACGACTCGTATTTTATTATGGTCGCGGTGGCCCGGAGTCACACAATTCCCTTCGGCGACCGTCTGATAAGTCAGTCAACGGGGGAGATGGGATTGGGGGGAGAGGGGTTGGAAGAGGTTCTTGCCCCCCCCGTCATTCCAGCCCTCCCCCTTGTTTGGCTGCCTGGACAGAACCCAACTGAAACTTTAGGAAAGGAAGAAGCCCCTCCCCAAATTACCTAGAATGTCCCCCCCGCATCAACAGAGGTGGTTCTGTGCCACGCTTGTAGCTACGTCCCTCTCCCTTTCTCTCACCCTCCCTCCTCTGCCTTCCTTTGCTCAGAAGGAAGACAGGATCCTGAGCGATTCAGCTGTCCGATTCCTAACGTTAGGATCTCGGCTACTGATCTCCATCCATTAGCTTCCCTCCTTTCCCCTCCCCCCTCGATTGCCTCTCCTAATATGAGGGTCTCAGATGTCCCACCCATCCATTGGCATCTCCCAGAGAGGAGGGAATCCCTTGCTCTTGTGTAATTGGAGCAACTCCACTAGATGCCCCGAAAGAGCACCGCCCTTGCCCACTTTCACTCTGCCATTTGATTCTGCTCTACGACGTGCTGGTTCCGGTACCTTGGGCACCTCACGCAGCTGGATGACGTAGTGTCTCCCCCTGTTCTCTGAAACGACTCTCTGCACCATCTCCATCAGTTCCGAGACCTGCCTCTCCCGCACGGCTACCGCGGCCTTGTTGCTGAAGCCGCAGAAGCGGTCCCCACACTGCCAGATGAGCTCCCGCAGTGCCTCACTGTTGGACTTTTGGACGTACTCCTGCAGGGGGTCCCCGCCCAAATCCTCCAGGCAGGTGAAGAGGACGATCATGCGCTTGGCGGACTCGGCCCCAAAGATCTGCCAGACACGCTTTGCAGCTGTTACATCTTCGACGGTGAAGCGTCCCAGCTGGGTTACCAAGATCAGGGCGTGGGGGCCAGGCTGGGAGAGTTCGACGCAAGCCCTGATCTCGTGTCGCACAAACTCCGTGTTGTCTTCAGGATCGAAAATGGCAGGCATGTCGATCACGGAGACCTTTCTGCCTTTCCAGATTCCCTGCCCCCTTTGGCATTTCAAGGTGATGGTCTTTGCTGACAAGACGGACTCGAATTCCCTCCGGCCGAGGATGGTGTTGCCCGTGGCGCTTTTCCCACCTCCGGACCTTCCGACCAGGATCAGCCGGAGTTCGGCATCCTCCTCTGTGAGTTTGGAAGATAATGTTACAAAAAGGAATCCAGATATTTCTCACAACATGTCGGGGCATCATTGAGCAGACTGGAAATGGGGACAACTTTTGGAAAAGAGTCAACCTTGCCCTACAGGGGTTCAGGGATGTTTTCATATCACTCCCCCAGAGTTGCTACAATGGGCTGCTCAGCGGTGCAGATTCACACAATGTGTGAACCCCACTTTAGCAGATGTCCGAAAACAGCCACTGTGTCCAGCCCCCACACGCAAAGCCAGAGCCAAGCAAACTGTGACTGAGCTGTGAGGAGGCTCAGGGCTGCTGGTGCGTGCTGTGTGACGATGGCCCTGGGCCTGGGTACGGGCGTAAGACCACTAGGTGACTACGCCAGACGCTATCCAACAGGATTGGATATGCTGATCGACGTTTACCAGCTGCAACCGGGACTGGCAACTCTATCGCTAAGTGCCACGGCCACCAAGCGAAAAACCACATGACCATGGTTTTTCGCTTCCGGTTCCATTCTGAAGGGAATTACCAGGGTTGTTAAATGAGACACCACAGGACACGAGATCTGCATCGCGAGAGTGGCGTCCTCCGTCGATTCCACTTCTGGGAACCTAGTCGGAAAGCTTACAAAGGGCGATCACATCACCATGGGAGGTTGCAATGGCTGTGCTGGTTGGGAAGGGCCTGAAGGATAATCACCTGACTGTGGGATGCTGTGAGGCTTATAAATGTGAGCGCTGCTCCAAAAAGATATTGTGTGTCTTTTCCCCCGACTGTTTTTAATTTCGATCACTAAACGAGGCAGTCAGCAAGGGAGGACTTATATGCAGGCTTTCAAGAGCTGATCACCGTTTCTGTTTTCATGTGAGATCCCCAATGCGGAGAAGGATCCTCCATGTGCAGGGGGGAGGCGGGAGGGGAGCTGCATTTCTGTATAAATAAATATATCCATTGCTTCTTGTCCTGCCCTCAGGTGCTTTGGAGAATAGCTTGTCTCCCTTTTCTTTCTGGGAAAGAAGCGCCTGAAGGCAGGACGAGAAGCAACGGATGGAAACCGACCAAGGAGAGAAGCAACCTAGAACTAAGGAGAAACTTCCTGACAGTGAGAACAATTAATCAGCGGAACAACCTGTCTCCAGAAGCGGTGAATGCTCCAATGCTGGAAATTTTTAAGAAGAGGCTGGACAGCCATTTGTCTGAAATGGTATAGGGTTTCCTGCCTGAGCAGGGGGTTGGACTAGATGACCTCCAAGGTCCCTTCCAACATTATATTATTATTATTATTAATCATAATCATAATAATCATAAATTTTACATTCATATTCACAGCAGACAAGACAGTCAAGAACACAGTAACATCCTGAGGTAAATTAAACAGCAGGCAGAACACAAGAGGAGAAAAAAGGCGGGGGGAAAAGGGAGACGCCTCCTTTACCCTTGGGGCAACCAATCACAGCGCAGATCGCCTCATGCAGGAGCAGACAAGACAGTCAGGAACACAGGAATATCCTGAGGTAAATTAAACAGCAGGCAGAACACAGAGAAGAAAAAAGGCGGGAAGAAAGGGAGACGCCCCCTTTATCCTTAAGGCAACCAATCACAGCGCAGATCGCCTCATGCAGGAGCAGACAAGACAGTCAGGAACACAGGAATATCCTGAGGTAAATTAAACAGCAGGCAGAACACAGAGGAGAAAAAAGGCGGGAAGAAAGGGAGACGCCTCCTTTACCCTTGGGGTAACCAATCACAGCGCAGATCGCCTCATGCAGGAGCAGACAAGACAGGAACACGGGAACATCCTGAGGTAAATTAAACAGCAGGCAGAACACAGAGGAGAAAAAAGGCGGGAAGAAAGGGAAACGCCTCCTTTACCCTTGGGGCAACCAATCACAGCGCAGATTGCCTCATGCAGGAGCCAGCCGTCTCCAACTAATCAACTACAGCTGTACATTCGCGTTACTGTTCCAGCCACTAAATTCAATATCTTAACAGGTCATCACAGAATACAGAATCACAGAGTTGGAAGGGAACTCAGAGGCCATCTAGTCCAACCCCCTGCTCGAGCAGGAGACCCTTACAGGATCATAGAATAACAGAGTTGAAAGGGGCCTCGGAGGTCATCTAGTCCAACCCCCTGCTGAAGCAGGAGACCCTTACAGGATCATAGAATAACAGAGTTGAAAGGGGCCTCGGAGGTCATCTAGTCCAACCCCCTGCTCAGGCACGAAGCCAACACACACACACACACACACAAACGGTCCACGGAAAAACCCTTCTCTATGGAACCTGCTCCCCGGTGCCCCAAGGTTTGGGGGTCTCTCTTACGTCAAGGAGAGGAGAAGAATTACCTGGTCTCTCAGCTGCCGTAACTTCCATTGTCACGTCTTCTCCTTCTTCGTCCGCAGGACGACGAGGAGCATCCATCAGGGAAACTGGAACTGGATAGAAGCCGGGTCTGTGTTTGTGTGTGTGTGTGTGTGTGTGTGTGCGTGTGTGTGTGTGTCTCATCCAAACTGATCCTTGGTTTGTTTTCGATTCTAGGTTTCAGGCAGCACCTCCTAGTCCAGTGGTTCTCAACCTATGGGTCGCGAGCCCATTTGGGGTCGATCGACCATTTCACGGGGGTCGCCAAGCAAGGCTGTCCGCCATTTTTTTCCCCTTTTCCGGCGGGTGCCTTACCTCCCTTGAGCTGGGCCATCTGGTGGTCGGCCTGCTCCGTCTCTGCCGCTTGCCAGCTACGCCTCGGCCGGCGCAGGGGGCGGAACCACGCATGCGCGGCGCTCCCGGGCAGGGAAAGTCCTCGACTTACGACCGGTTGGGTAGTTCTCGACTTACGACCGGTTTAGTCCTCGACTTACGACCGGTTTAGTCCTCGACTTACGACCGGTTGGGGGTCGCGGCATTAAAAAGGTTGAGAACCACTGTCCTAGTCTGCCTCAAGATCAGGATACAGGGGGGAGGAGGAGGGGGAGGAGGAGGGGAAGAGGAGGAGGAGGAGGAGAGGAAGAGGAAGAAGAAGAGGAGGAGAGGAGGAGGAAGAGGGGAGGGGGAGGGGGCACCTTTGTGCTCTCTGAGCTTGGTGGTCTTCTTGTAGACGTTTCATGACCCAATTAGATAACGCCATCAGTGCTAGGAGGGAGGGGGAGGTGATGGAGAGGAGGAGGAGGATGACTGTGGGGGTCTGTGGCGCTCTCTGAACTTGATGGATTTCTTGCAGACGTTTCATGACCCAACTAGGGAACATCATCAGGGCTAGAAGGAAGGGGGGAGTTATGGAAAGGAGGAGGAGGAGGAGGAGGAAGCACGGAAGGAGAGGGGGAGGAGGAGGAGGAAAGGAAGAGGAGGAAGAGAGGAAGGGGAGGAGGAGAAGAAGAAGGAATAGGGGCACGTTTGCACTCTCTGAGCTGGGTGGTTTTTCTTGCAGACGTTTCACGACCCAACTAGGGAACGTCATCAGGGCTAGAAGGGAGGGGGGGGGTTGAAGAGTAAGAGGGAGAAGAAGGGGAGGAGGAGGAGGAAGAAGAGAGGAAGGAGTGGAGGGGGGGATGGAGGAGGAGGAGAAGAACTGGGGGCCCCTTTGCGCTCTCCGAGCTGGGTGTTCTCCTTGCAGACGTTTCACGACCCAACTAGGGAACGTCATCGGGGCTAGAAGGAAGGGGGGAGTTATGGAGGGGAGGAGGAGGAGGAAGAGGAGGAGGAATACCGTGGGACCTGTGGCGCTCTCTGAGCTGGATGGATTTCTGGCAGACGTTTCACGACCCAACTAGGGAACGTCATCGGGGCTAGTGAGGAGGAGTGCGGTTTACGGCAGCCCCCTCCCCAAATACTGGAATCCTGCTATCGTGTCCACCCCCACCCCCCGAGTCCTTCTTTCCTCTAGACTGGCCAAACCCCAATTCCTGCCCCCCCCGTTCCACCCACCCCGCAAACGCCAGCCGTGGCCTCCTCGCTTACCCGGCGGCGTGGCCTTGTCATCCGTCGGCGCCTGGAAGAGTGGAAAGGAGACAAGGAAGTCAGAAACGGGTCTCGCCACCCGGAGGCCTCGGCCTTTCCAATGGGGCAGAGAGAGAGAGAGAGCCATCTTTCCCCCCCTCCCCACTTTGTGCCCAGAAACCGCAGCCTGGTCCCCCCCCACCCCATTTAAGGCACCCCCCCAAAGCTGCTCTGGAGCCCCCCCCCAGCTAAGTAGGGGCTGAGATGCTCTGAAAGGACCCTGGAAGGGGAAGAAAAGAGGGGAGGCTGGG